ACAATAGGTTTATGTCTTCTTTAAATAATCTTCAGAGTTCCACAGGCTTTGAACTTTTCACCCAGATATTTCTTGATCCACATGCTAAGGGCTACATAGATTGTGCAGAAAAAATCTCCTTGGATCTTGGAATAAATCATAAAGTTTCCTAAATTGTCTCAACATCCAATTTTAGAAACTTATGAACAATTGAATATCAAATCATGTTCCATATTAAATCTTCTTGACTTGCAAAAACAAGTGAGATATATCCAAACAAAATCTCACAAAACCAAATCAAATAATACTTCAGATCTTTTCAAGATTTTCTGCATGAAAATAGAACAAAAGATTCCAAAATAAATCCACGAATTATGTAGCAAAACTCTTTTGATTCAAATAAAATTTCCACCCTAATTTGCGCCAGCAATATCTCTTACTAGAAAAGTACAAAAGATTGAACAAAATATTACTAACAAATAGCAACAAATAAATCACAACATTCTAAATTGAATGTTAAGTTCTGTAATAACATGTTAGAATATCAGATTTGACATCCTGCATTCTAACTCTACGCAACATGAATAAACAACATGCATAGATGTTTGACCCACATGTCAAGACATCTTGCACAACATATAGTTGCAACAACATGTTTTAGCAAAATGCAGCCAACACAAAACTTTCAATCTCACCCTTTGGCAAATTTTGGCTAAAACAACCTTTGCACAATAATTCTAGAGAAAAGGAATAAAACCACAAACACAAAACACAAGCTACATGAAAAACATGTAAACTTTGTATAAACTGCAAACAGAAAGATATCAGAGATAAAATGCAGCTACAGATCATCAGATATTACAACTCCTTCAAACTATAGAAATCTCCAGAAATTAGATATCAAGACACATGGTCTGACAACAAATCAACACAACTCCAACACAACAACCCCAGACATGTCCATTACTCCCCCTGTCACACATGACAAATACTCCCCCTCAATGGAAAATCTAAATCATAAGACAAACAAACATTAGAAGCACATGAATCAAAAGTCACACACATTAGAACACATCAGGATGAATGTCAAAATATGTGGTTCTACATCAGACATTCATCATTGCACACAGACATCACATCAGTAGCAGCAACAACAACAACAACAAGCATGACAAACTATCATGCTCCCCCAAAATATTTGCATACGACAAGCAACAATAATACACTAGTTTTCCCCTAGAAGTAGTACAATCCTATCATAATGTTAGTCAACATGTCAAGGCAAGTGGCATGACACCAGGGCAAATTGTCCAACATTTTGTTGAAGAACATGCTTTAGTAAAATTGATGCCAATCACAAAAGCTGAGACTTAACATCATTTGTGTTGTTGCAATTATTATGATAATGTTGATGTGATTATGAGATGAGTTGTTATACTTATAATGATAACATCTTGAGTTGAGATATATCATTTCAGTATGGAAACTACCATGTAGTTGTTGTACAAGAATCATATGGTTCAATGTGATACGGTTAATTGGTGTTAGATTGTGATGTTGATGCATTCATTCATTCATGCATCATAAGTTGCTGTTGTTGTGAAATAGGCGATTTATAAGTTTTGATGTTGGTGAACGGTAATTATCCCAAGCTTGATGTTAAGGCTTGGAGCTTAGTGTTGGAGCTTAGGGTTGCTGAGTTAAGCCCATGGGTTGATTGTAACCTGATTCATAATAATAACCATTGTTGAGATTGGTACCACATGCATATGAGTATATAATGTTGTTGAGAGTCACATTGCATATTGATTCCGTGTTGATGCGAAGTGGGTGAAACTTGAATACACGTGTTGTGGTGTATAATGAATTATATTTGAACTGTATTGTATTTAATCTACTCTGATTGTTTATGCACTGTTAATTATTTAAATTTATTTCTCACCCTTCTGTTTGAATGTTGCCTTTACACGAGCATTGTGTAGATACTCAGGAGTAGCTTTGCTGAAGTAAGTGGCAAATAACTCTTGGAGTTATTTCTTTAGTTTATCGCTTTGATTAATGATGCCTTGCTCTGATCAGGTAAATTCGGGTTGGGAATAAATGCTTGAAATGATTCCGATGTTGTTTATGTTTGAAATCAATACTATTTATGTTGTTGAGATTTCTAACTTGTTATGAGTTGATTGTTATGAACTCATTTTTGCTTATGTTATGAAGTTAACATTTATGAGACTAAAGTTTGTGAGTTGCAATATTGTTGTTAATTGCTTTATTAATGATTCCACTGCGATGACCCCTTAAACATCAGATGAGTTGGATATCATGCAAACATCTCAAGTACATATCAGATGAGTTGGATGCCATGCAAACATCCTAGGTATAAATATGTGTATTAAACTATTCTGTTGTAACTCGTGTTACGGAGCAAGTTATTTGTTTGTAGTGTGTGACACTCTGAGTGGTTGTATTATGTTTAATATAATTCTATGATAATTTTATGCGTCGTGTTTAGGGTGTTACAATATCAATCCTAGACATTAGAGTTATGTTATTGATTTCGTCCACTCAACAATGGTTCCCCCTCAAACCGGATTCCCCTTCGAACCCCGAATCGTCACTGGTCCTCTCTTATGAACCAGAGACTTGTCACTAGGTCGAGGTCCGTACATATTTCACCGATACACATGATGCATGATATGCAATAACAACATACAAGTCAATAATCGCCACAAGCTCCTCTTTGAATCGTAAATCATCACCCAATAAGGTCACCATACTAGTTCTTATCTAACTACACTTCTCAACATATGCATATAATTATAACTCGACAATATATATGTAATCACATTGCAACATATAATTATATATACAACACTCACCAACAGAAAAAATATTAACGTATGTGCTAAAAAACACTCATCAATAGAGTAAACATATTATTACTTATGTAACCTCATCAACAGGGTTAAAATAATATTCTACAACTCTAACACTCAACACAGCCAACTCATAATACTTCAGATAACTTATTACCACATATCATTATTTACCTTTGACTCTAATACTACTTTATGTCTTTGGTAAGTGTTACCTTAAACCTTGCCCTAACTCTAAAGTTACAACAAATCTTTTATTTGGCAAGGTTCCTCGCCATAACTATAAGTAATAAATATTTCCAACTCTAACATTATCAAAGAGATTATATGCTAAAAAAATGCTCAACAATGCTTACAGGCGTACTCTAGCCTTAACTCACTACTCATCGACATGATTTTTAACACATCATATTACTCAACTTCAACATTATTGATTTATATAATATTCAAAGCACAACAATGTAACTCATTTTCATTTCATTTGATTATCTATAATAACTCTAATATTTTTAAAAAACTCAAATGTAAACTCTTTTAACTATACACAACTCTAATTCAACTCTAAAATAAAAAATATCTTCAACTCCAACTCTAAACATATCAAATAACTCAAACTCTACTCTAAATATATCAAACTACTCAAATTAGAATTATTTATAAATATGTTTATTTCCTTAAATTGTTAAAGGGTTTCCCAAAACTCTAAACTTAACTATAAAACATAATGCTTAATTTCAAAATAACACCAACGATAAAATTACTAAATACTCTATTTAAAAGATCATTAAACTATCTTGCTAACGAAGTGACTTCACCTCAAACAGACCCACATAACTCAAGTTATGCATAAAACACGATGACCAACACAAGACTTGAATTTGATTACGCCTCTGATATATAAGCTAGATGACTACTACTGTTGTAACGTTCGGTAAACCCAAATTCCCCACTTCAAAAGAAAGATTATTGCGTTAACTTTTTAATGCAACTGACGACACCTCAAACAGACTTACGAAACTCAAGTTACGCATGAAACGATATAGTCATCACCTTCTATGTCTATCTTTGATGTTATGCATTTTTCACTCTATTGAACAAATTCGGAACTAGCCTATTTCGCTTAGCATAGCCAAAACACCCAAACATCACAGCAATCATATGGTTATCAAACACCATAATAATCATTTAAACCTTTCTCCAATGAACTATTCACACCAATGTCTTCCTTCAATATTCTAGGTCGCACACCTATAACCCCATAAACACATCACAACCACTCTACCATAGATCGCAACCTCAGTTACAACAACGTGTCATTCAATACATAAGACTTCTTAGAAATGCATGAACTTTTAGAGATTTTGGTGATATTTCCGAGACCTTAAATCCTCAAATACCTGGATTGAATCAACGAGCGCAATAAATTAGGGTAGCTTGGAAGTGTGAAATTGGTGACCGGTATTACTAACCCGCTCGTCATCATTAATGTTTATAAAAGTATTTTAAATTAAATATTAATATTTATAATTTATATTTTATAAAAAAAATTATACAGTAGAATTGGTGTCACATTTTAACAATACACATATTTAACTGGCGTCACCGCTTAAAGCTTAGCATACCACTATCAATTGGATTAGTTGAAGAGTCATAAATTCAATTGATACCATCCTTTAATTTTATAGTGAAGGTGCTAATTCATTCGACATTGTCTTTGCATTTCAAAATTTATTTGTTTAAAAGTAAGGTAGATTAAATTTTTTTTTGAAACCTACATTATTATACGAAGAGAATTGAAAATGTGCGTTATTTGGATAAAAAATGCCTAATTTTACTCAGCGCCATATTCAATACTATTGTCAATAGAAAAAATACTATAGTCATTTTGTTGGTGTATAGATAGATGCAGTTCACCGTTAGATTTAGTTCTATCTACGGTTCTTAAGTTATTACCAAGCTATCCACGGATCACCAATATAGGCCGTCGATTCCCCCAAATTTAACATCAGAGATCAAATTGAATTCTGATAAGCTCCTTCTTCCTCCCGCTGCAATAGATAAATAAATAGCGCGATCACATTCTTCATTTCCATCTTAGATTCAAAATCAAACCCTAAATTCTCAATCTCAAATTTTCCATCGAAAATGTCAGGTCGTGGTAAGGGTGGTAAGGGACTTGGAAAGGGAGGTGCAAAGAGACACAGGAAGGTGTTGAGAGACAACATCCAAGGTATCACGAAGCCAGCTATTCGTAGATTGGCGAGAAGAGGAGGTGTGAAGAGAATCAGCGGTTTGATCTATGAAGAAACTAGAGGAGTTTTGAAGATCTTTCTGGAGAATGTGATTCGTGATGCTGTTACTTATACCGAACACGCTAGGAGGAAGACGGTTACCGCAATGGATGTTGTGTATGCCCTCAAGAGACAGGGAAGAACCTTGTATGGTTTTGGAGGTTGAACAAGAAGAAGAAGAAGCTCCCTTATGCTTATTCTTATTGTTTATGTGTAATTTCAATATATGAATTTCTTTAGAGGTTTGTGATGATGGTTAGGTTTAATTTGTAATCTTTAAGGCTGAATTAAGCTGGTGTATATCCAGATTTAAAGTTGAAATTGAAATGAAGGATTAATGTTAGCTGTTATATTATGTTTTTGATTTATTTTCACAGTTTGTTTATTACATTCTCTTTGAGCTGGTAAGTATCGGTTATAAATTTATGAGAGTCGTAGTTGTGTGTTTTGAATTCTTATTTTCAATTCATAGGTGGTTTAACGATTCTTTAAGTGAGCATAATAATTCGTATAAATTATATAATTCTTTTTGATTCTGATGTGTGATTATATTCTCTATATGATGGATTTGTGCTCAATCTTGCTCTGCATTGTGGTTTATGAGACATTTTTCTGGAATACCTTTGCTAACATTGATGGTAACATTATTTGCCGTTTTCCTTCTGAGGGTGCAATAAGTTGTTACATATGAATTAATTGTTGATAGTGCACCATTAATATTGACATAGTTCAATACCTGTCACGTAAACAAAAGGTTTGAAGGGGGATATAACTTTGAAGATGCATGCCAAAAAGTGTATTTTCGGGTAGATCTTCAAGTGATAGTGTCTACTCTGGTTTTACCCCTCAATTGGGTCATTGGAACTCTTATGTGTGTGTTTCTTCATGTAAATATACAATTTTGGTTAACAATGTGGTTGTTTGGTGGTTGTAGCCTTAGACGGGTAGATGCTTTGTATCCCATTTCAAATACCGTGTTGAAAGTTTCCACAGCCTTATAAGAGATGCAGAAGCTAAATTTTAAACTCATGGGACTCCAATATTTTATTTGCATATCATATGCGCTATTTGACTTCTATTTTGATTTTAGGGGCTCTTAAGTAAGGGCCTTCCCCTCAAAGTTCTTATCCTATGTAAGTACATAAAAATAATATTTTATAGGGGTGGAAATAAGTTATGCCGAGTTGGGCTTTGTTAAATTTAAGTTTTTTTTATCAAAAAAAATTGAAACGTAAGTCTGATTTGTAGTTTGTCATAAATTTATTTTTAGACTTGAATTTGACCTTTTTTGAGGCCTATTATTTTAGACATATATAAATAAGCAATTAAAGTAATGTTTAAATAGACTAACAAATTAAAAAATTAATGAAACTACAAATTTATTTGCATTGATTTATTTTAACTTATCTATTAACATAAATTTTGTATGACTATTTATTTCAAATAACTTATGAAAACAATTTATAACATGGTTCATAAGATTTTTTCATCTTATTTTTATATGTTTTTCAAGATAACTAATTTTTATTTATGTATTTTAACTCAAAGTATAAAATATTCCATAATCATAATAAAATAATTATTCATATTTATTTAAATAGGCCGATCTGTTAAGTTTAAAATGTTTTTTTTTTATGGCCTGAGAGCTTTTTTAACTAAGTAGGCTTATAAAAAAGTTTAGACATTTTCTATTTATAAAAAACTTAACTTGGCACGAGTCTGTGTAAGTTAGCTCGTAGACTCCTGTTATCGGTCTGACCTATTTCTACTCCTACATGAAAACGATGATCGTTAGTAGAGACTGAACTATTGTAATGAGATATGTTATGTTTATATAAATCGATACCAACAAAGACGTGGGAGCATGTTCGCTACTGTATGTAACTAGGGGTGAAAATAGGCCAGACTGATAACTGGGGCGTATGGCCTAATCTACATAGCTCAGACCAGACAAAACTTTTTTTTAATAAAAAAGCCTAGACTTTTTTGTAAGCCTATTTAATTAAAAATGTTAGATCTTAAGCCATAAAAAAAATCTTTTAAGCCTAACAGGCCGACCTATTTAAATAAATATGAATGTTTTTTTTTATTATCATTATGTTATGTTTTGTACTTTGAATTAAAATGTATAAATAAAAATTGGTTATTTTGAAGAACTTATGAAAATAAGATGAAAATACTTTATGATCAATGTTATAAGTTGTTTTCATAAGTTATCTTAAACAAATAGTCTCGCAAAATTTATGCTAATAGGTAAGTTAAAATAAGTCAATGTAAACAACGTTTTAGTCTCATTGGTTTTCTAGTTTATTACTCTATTTGAATATTATTTTAATTGTTTATTTACATATGTCTAAATAATAGACTTTTATGTAGGCTAACAGGCTAACCAGATCTTAGAAAAGGCCAGACTCAGGCCTAAAAAAAAGCCTATGACAGGCTACAGACCAGGATTAAACTTTTGTTTTTTTGACAGGTCAGACTTAGACTTAGCAAAACCTAACTCGCCCCAGCCTATTTCCACCCCTATATGTAACTAATGCATTATCTCTAAAACTTGATCGATTCATTTTTAACAAAATGTGAGATTCATATGACGAGAATCAATTATGGGAGGTGTCTTTTCTTATGCGTCCTACTCGGATCCCGACCACTCTTAAAAAATGTTAGATTCATTTTAAGATAACAATTTATAGAGTCATAGAAAATGTTATGATGACACAAGATGACACCTTGTGAGATACTCGTGCAAAACGCATGGGTACACACCAAACACATGAGTACTGATGTGTGTTAAGCGCATTTATTTCTAAAATATAATAAGAATGAAAAAAACAAGAAAACAAAAAATTAATAAAACAAAATTATTTAATTAAGAAAATTTATTATTTTTAAAACAAAAAACATATTTTTATTTTTATTTGTAGGATATATATAGTTTTTTTTATATATAAAAATATTTGGATTAATCATATATTTTTCCGTAATAAATATTAATTTTGTTTTGATATTTTTTATAAAAGTATTTATGCAATCATTTAGTTTCATAAATATAAACTAATAATATAATATTTGTAAATATTATTTTAATTGTATAAATAAATATTAGTAACATAAATAAATATATTTTGTCTGTGTTTAAATTATACTTTATTTTAAATATATTTTCATTTATTTTTTTAATTGTACAAAAATTATAAAAATCCGTGTGTTTATACAGATTCTGATCTAGATACTCGCGCGTTCACGCGAGTACAAATGAGTTATGTACATTTGTTTTCAAAATCTAATAAGAATGAATAAAAAGAAAAACAATTTTTTTTCCATATATTAGTCAAATTATTACATCAATAATATATAGCTCATGTTCTATTTATTTTCTTAACAAATATTATATCTTAAATTAAAAATAATTTCAAAATAAAAATATTAATAATAAAAATAATTAAAAAACAACATATTTTTCTTGTGCTTGGATGCATATATTATTTTAAATATATTTATTTTTATTTTCTTTAATTGTAAAAAAAAATGTAACAACCCATGCATCCACACAAATTATGGTCTAGATACCCGTGCCTTCACACGAGTACTGTGTGTTACACGTATTTGTTTCTAAAATATAATAAGAATGAAAAAATAAAAAGACAATTATTTAGCCAAGAAAGTTTATTATTTAAAAAAAAACATATTTTTATTTATATTTGGATCATAAATATAATTTTTACATATATACAAATATTTGAATCAACTGTATATTTTTTCATGTGTAAATATTAATTTTGTGTTGACATTATTTATAAAAATATTTTTGACCAATAAAAAACTTGTTCCCATTTATAAAAGTATTTGGATCCTCAATACACTTTTTCTCATATATAAAAATAAAATTCAATATAACATATTTAAAATTTTCCCGTGTATAAAAATATTTGTCTCATATACTTTATTATATTATCAACGACTTACGAATATCTTTTTTTGCAGAGATACCAACATAAAGATCATAATTAAGTAATAAAATTTTAAGTAAATAACAATTTTTAAAATTAAACTTAAAATTTCAAATATTGATATTTGACTCATTTCTATAATAAAATGTTAAATTTATCAATATTTAATATATAATAAAATGTATATAATGATAGTTATACATGTGAGGGCAAATTGTCTCAATACTTGCTTTAATGATGGCAAAAAGTATCTAGTTAGTAGTTTGTATTTTGGACGGTATCATCGAGTCGCATATGCATTCGTAGTTCTCTCGCGCACAATAATTTTTCAAAAACATGTGTCTATTCATATAGAAAAGCATGATATATATTTTGTGTGAGTTTGATCATGTTGATAGACTTAGATGTGCAGTAGAAGTGCTTAGATATAGCAAAATATGTCAAAAAGAGCATTTTTGGAAGTTCTGAGCATTTGAGTCGACTCAAAGCCCTGCTTAGGTCGACTCATATAGAGTGAATTTTGAGGATTTGCTCTCAGGAGTGCTCACGTCGACCCTCCGGTCGACTCATACTGTTAGCGTTTCTATTTGTCAAAATTGGGCATGTTTGCGTCGACGCGTGAACCTGCTACGGTCGACGCATAGAGTTAGTTTCTGCATAATTTTGAAAGCGGGAGTGCTCAGGTCGACCCCCCTTTTCTTCAGATCGACCGTTCGCTCGTGTCACTCTATTTTTCTGTTGTGCTTGACTTTCAAATGGCTGCTATGTTTGTTACTTAGTCCTAGCTTCACATATATATTGTTTTTGACTCATTCTTTAAAAAAACAACAAGAAAAGTGAAATTTGACATTGGTTTTTCTCTCATCATCTTCATCCTCTTTCTTACATTTTCTCAACAAATACACATAACCATTTTTGTTGATCATTCTGCATCATTGAGGTGATAACGTCCAAACATAACATATTTGTATCGGGTTTGGGTTGAGAGATTGGTGGATTTTTCTTGAATAAAACCGTTAGGGTTTTGTCCTCCAAGAATCTTGGAATTTTGGGATATTTTTGCACAAATCATTTCTTCACAAATTCAGCTGAGCGAAGGTGATTGAAGAACGGGTGGTTCTGTCAATCTAGTATAGGTAACCAGAGGATTGTGGAAGGAAGATTTGGATTTGAATTGTGTGTGATTGAAATCAGTCGAGCTAAAGATTTGAAG